AAGTTTATCATTTGTTCCAATTTATGATAATAGGGCACTCAAAGCAAAAATTGATGCATATGTTTCTATAAAGAATACCTTAGAGAAGTCAATGCAATACAAGTTTAGTATAGAAACAAAGGTTGTCTTTAAAGCTTCAAATGTTACTTTTTCTTCTTCATTCTATTGAAATTTATCTTTACAAATCAAACAAGTAAATGAAGCTCTAACTTGAGAGAAGTCCTTGATGAAGTTCTGATTATAATTCACAAATTCCAAAAAATATTCGACATCTCGTACCACTTTTGGGATCTTCTAATACATAATAGTTTGAACTTTCTTAAGATCCATCATAAGTCTATCATTTGAAATGATGTAACCTAAGAAGTTGACTTGAATAGTATAGAATACATACTTTTCTATCTTGGTATAAAGTCATGTATCTCTTAATTTTTATAGCATATGATGAACATGAAGTTCATATTCTTTTATATTCTTAGAATAGATGAAGATGTCATCTAAATAAAACACAACAAAATTGTCCAAAAATTCTTCAAAAATATCATTCATAAGATGTTGAAAAGTTGTTGGTGCATTTATAAGTCCAAAAGGCATGACATTATATTCAAAATATTTGTACCTAGTTCAAAAGGTAATCTTCCATTTATTTCTTTTTTTGATACGTACTAGATTATATGCTCTTTGTAGATCTATTTTTATATTGATCTTAGCTTGATTCAATTAATCAAGAAATCAAGATATTAAAAGTAGTGGGTACCTATTTTTGATGGTGGTCTTATTGAGTCTTCAATAATTAATATACATCTACAATGAATCATCTTTTTTCTTCACAAATAGAATTGACGCTGCTATCAGAGATTTGGAATGGCATATGAAGTTATTAGTTACATTCTCTTCAATATACTCTTTGAATTCAACCAACTCATTTTATGATAAATTATAGATTGATCCAAATGACGGTTGTGTTCTTTCTTGAATATCAATTCAGCATTCATAGGGACATTGTTTTGAAAGAATATCTGTATTCTTTTTCTCAAATACATCTTAAAATTCTTAATATTGGCTTGGAATGCCACTTGAAGTCTTTGTACCATTAGAAATGGGTGTGGCATAAATGACATAAGACAATCTTTCTTTTATAGCATGTAAGGAAGCTCTTGCACTTACAAACACAAGTTTAATTATACTAGACTTATGATTTTTTACTTGATTAACTATACTCTTAATTATACCTTTAAAAAAGTCAAGAGTACAATAAATCAAATCTACTCAAGGGTTGTATTTTTTTAACCACAATAAGCCTATAATGATTAGATTAATAGAAGATTTAATAATATTTAATACTACAAAGCTATTATGACTATTGATTATTAGTTCTATAGGAAGAGTTTTGTAAGTAACATGTCTAAAAGACAATAGAAAACCATCTATGATTTCTACATGAATATGTTTAATTTTCTTCACTAAAGATATGCTAAGTTTTTAGCATATTCTTCATCTAAGAAACATGATGAGGCTCCTATATCTAACAAGGCATAAACTTTGTAATGTTTAGGTCCTAAAGTAATATAAAATATAAAACAAGGAGAAGGTTCTGAGGAGAGAATAGGATCTTCATTAAGTATCGTACAAGGTTCAAGCCACACAATCCCTATTGTAGCTGAACAAACTTGTTTTTTGATATATTATCTTTTTTGATATTTGTACTTGTCATTTTATAATTATATCACTTCTTTAGACAATATTGATTAGTGTGCTTAGGTTTTCTATAATATAAGCACAATCCTTTCAAATAGCAATGAATCTTTTCTTGCTTAGTAAGAGGTTTCAAATGTACCATATCAATTTACATATCGTCTACTTTCAAATATATGTATTGAAGAGGCATTGGTATTGCTATTGAATTATAATAATATTGAAGCCAACTTATTTGACTTTCAGATCAAAATTCAAAAAGTTGATTATTACACATTTAACAAAGTCAATTACTTGACTCAATGTTTGAAGATCAGGTAAGTTGAGCATCAATTTCTTTACCTCATACTTTAATTTATAGAGAATTTGGCTAATAATTGCAGTATCATCCTACTTGATATTAATTGCAAGTTGTCTAAATTGTCAAACATATAATGTTATGGATTAATTATTTTATCATAAAATATAGATCTTCTCGGTTGCAACATGAGTTATATCATTATCTGCATACATAGATCAAAACTTTTCCAAAAAATCCTCTAAATTATCAAGTATTGTATCTTGTTGTTCAAAAAAAGATAAAAACCACAATAATGCTGAACTTAAAAGAAGTATACGAATGAATCTAACTTGTGATCTTAGAGTTGGATAGCTTTGAGATTGAAGTTCAATCATAAGTTATACTTGATTGATAAATCTTCAAAACTTGAATCTTGTTCAATCAAACTTCTTAAGTAAGGCAACTCTTGGTTTTCTAGTATCAAAAGCATGTTCCTTTGTAGGAAAAGAGACATGATTTGATACTGATGTTGAAGCAACTTCAATCATATCTAAATCTTCACTTCATGCTATTTTTGTTGCTGCTTATGGTGTTAAATTGAGTTGATGTATCGCAAGAATTAACTCCCTCAATTGCTCTTGTATTTGTGCAATTACATTCTTCATTGATTGCCATGATAATACTTAAAATATATACATATCTAATTTTACTCAAGTCTTATAGAAGAGAAGATTGGACATCAAAGAAGATACTAAGAATAATATTAATTTAAAAGATGGTAATCTGTAACTTCTAATATGCCTATGTCTTATCAAAAAAAAATGATAACTTATTCTTAATCAAAAAAAGACAAGGCTTTGATATTGTAAGTATACTCTTGTCAATCTGTCAAGGACAAGAATTTGATAAAAGTAAATAAACAAGTATAAAAAAATTGAAATAAAGAAGTATGTATATTAAAAAGAAACTGAAATGGTTATTGCTAGAAGACAAAGAAACTAGAGACTCTTGAATCTAGACTAGAAGTAAGAAAAAAGCTGATAAGAATGAAGAGGACTTCACTCTTGTTTCTATATATACTATCTAACTAAGAGCTATGTGGCAATATTCTATAGGACTTTTTATATGTGTTTACTTTGTAGGACATATGCTTTAGCTTACAAGGCAATTTTTTTATGTGTACACCACATAGTTAGCTTGTCTTTCAAGCTACCAACCTGTGTGGTACATAGATAACTTGTTGACCACATTTTTAATCTAAAAAATCAATTATAGATACCTATAAAGTCAAAGCAGCATCTATAAAGCTTCTAGAAAGCTTTTATAGAAGATATTATAGAAATAACCTACTTTTACTTACTTTTATCTAATCATATAAGTAATTATTGATTTACATGTGTATGTCCATGACATCTAGTTGCTTATTGACTACATCTACTAGAATCTAAAAAGATCCATTTGATATTCTAAATATATCTTTTTAAGCCATATAAAACAATGGATATCTTAAAAAGAAGCCAAATACCACTTCTTCATATAGAATTAACTAATAATCAAAAATTTGATGTAGAAGGAATCTTGAACTCAATGCGATGCTAAAATATGTTGGAATATCTTGTTCATTAATGCGGATATGATATTAGTGAACCTATATAGAAGCTAGCTAAGAATCTTGCAAATGCAATAAAGAAGGTTGATGCTTTTCATGGATGACATCCATCAAAATCAAGATGAAAAGTAACAAATCTTTGCTATAAAAAAAAGATTAGAATATGTAGCAAATACAATTTACAATATCTTAGACATCTTCAATATATAATAACTACTTATTGTGGATCTTATCTCTAGAAGAGAGATAATATATATATATATATATAAAGAATATTAAGGACATAAATCTTAATACATAATATACTTAGTTCTTGACATTCATGTCATCTTTTCCTTCTCTTAGCTCCTCCTGATTCCCATTACTTCGTACATTATTCTCTTATTCAACTATACTAATAATCTCTATTATAATATTTTTCATTATATTGTATTAATAATATTTTTTTTTATTGTATGTAAATATATACAAGAAGAGTGTTTACTTTTTGACTTTTAGAATTTATTTTTTATTTGATAGTTTAATTTTTAATTATATGGAGAAGTTTATGGTATTTTTTATATTAACTCTTTATAATTATGAATATTCATATTTAATTTTCATATTTCCAAAAATCCTTTAATATTATAGATTATCTATTTTTATTTTATTTTTAAAAACTTACTTTTAATTAGACATGTATTAAAAATATGTCTCATATTATTTGTTTTCTTCTTCTTATTCTACGCATACTTCAATTATATATGTTTTTTTTGTGAAATTTCAAACTTCTACATATTTATAAATAGTATTTTAGTTTGTCATTATTATGTCCATAATCTTTGAATGCCAAATAATAAGTTAGGGCAATTCAGAAAGGACTTTTACAAGGGAGGAGGATTTTTATTTTATTTTATTTTAATATCTACTACTTTCTAATCAAACTTGGTTATTAATAGTACTCATCATTAGTATTGTTTTATTTGCAAGGACTTTCTGTGAAATGTGTTTCCAAATTTAATCATTAAATTAGCTTCGTTTTACCATGTGAAGAAAATAATTCCAAGCTTAGAAAATTTTCTTGATAACATTAAAGATTTGGGTATTTGAAAATAAATAAATAAATAAATAAATAAGAAAAGAATGTCCTTATTTTTTTCTTATATATATATTCTTTGAGAAATTTCATAGAATTCACTGTTTTGAGTATTGAAGAATTGACTTCGTCAAAATATTGAAACTGAATGGCATGGGTCATCTCAGCCAACTATTCAGAAAGTGAGCAGCTCGAGCCCCGTGGATGAAAAACAATCGGATATATATTCGCTCCCGTACCCGGATCGGGCCAACACAACATCGTTACGGGTCTCAACCGAAGATGTCGACCCAGGGCCTCAATACAGGGGCTCAACTCTGATTCTCGTCAAGTTTTCTCCAAGTTGCCTGTTGCTGCGTTGATGTTGTTGCTGTTGATGTTGTCGTCGTTGTTCGCCATAGCTCATGGTTTAAGCTAGATTTACCTCTGGTGAGCACTTCGCCCTACTACCTCTACTGCAACATTTCTATTCTTCGTTTTAATTTTCTCCTATCATCGCTTCAGTCTTTACTTCTCTTCTTCTTCTTCTTTTTCTTTTTTGTTTGTTTGTATGTTTTCTTTTTTTTTTTCTTTTTTTTTTCTTTTTTGCGAGGAACATGAGGGAGGGGCTGGGAGGCGTTGATGCGTCATCACACACACACAGATTTATATATATATATATATATATATATAGATATTCTCTGACCTTAAATTTCCAATGCTAGAAATTGCGTTGTCAGACTTACGATTCGTAAACCTTTTGATCCCAGTCCTCAGAAGGATCAGCACAGCAGGGGAATATCTGGGATTGAGTTGAAGAAATTTTGGTCGTTCCTGGGCATTGTCATTGGAAATTTCTCTGAAAATCGTTGTGAGTACTTTCGAAAATGGTTTAGTAGCTTCCTTTTAGGAACGAGTTTGGTATGAAATATTGAATGTACATTGGCGTGTTTGCATGTTTATTATGCAGTTGGCTTTCCATGTCTCTTGCATACGACACCGTAGTTTTCCATAATTCTGTAATAGGGAGTAGTATCATGTTTGAAACGGATAATTTTTCATTTTTTGAATGATCTATGCTGATCTTTGCTGAACAAAAATTTCTCCAGCTGTGTTTATTTTTGTTTCCGTGGTAGATTTCGTTGCCTTTCTGGGTTAAGTTCCTTCATAAGTTTTACTTCGGACTTCAGTACTTTACCTGATAACGGACGAGCTTGGGATCTTGCCCTCATGTTGGTAAGTCAAGCCACCGCTCTTACTCCGATTATGTTTCTCATGTTGGTCTCGCGCTGTTGTTTTCATTGATTTGGAGGAATTAGGGTTCGGCATGTATCCGTTTTTTTGTGAACTCTTGGATGTGTGGTCAGTGACCACCTAGGACTTGGATACATAATTCATTGTTGGGGTGATATGGGGGGTGTTTCATATCACCAGCTACAATGGAAGCGCATTGATTGCCATGGTAGAAAAGAATTGCTTAGCCATTGCTAGTGATCGTCGTCTAGGTGTAAATTTTCAAACGATTGCGTGCGATTTTCTGCGCATCTTCAAGATTTACGATAATCTCTACATCAGCCTCTAAGGTCTTGCCCCAGACGTGCAAACTATGTAAGAGAGCGGTACGCTTCGTGCCGAACCATGGCAATTATCCAATTTGAACCAATAAATAAGTAGGGTAGTAAAAGTACTGGAATCTAGTTAGGAGTTGATTGTGTAATCGATGATGTCTTAGTGCTATATCAAGTCGAATTAGAAAGGAACTAACATTGAATGTAAGGGTACTGCAGTAGGCTACCAAGCCAATATTTTGCATGTTTAAAATGCGATTCCGGTAGCGTTGAACAAGCAATGGGATTGATTCGACTTGAGAGTGGGTGCTCTCTGCACGTATGTTAAGTCCAGCTTAAGTCGGCAGATAGAGTATATGTTGAATTGACATTGAAATTGAAAGCGACCTTCTGCTGCGGATAGTAGACATGCTAGAATAGGCAATTGAGCGGAGTAACTAACCTGTTTCGTACACATTTCCAGGGGGAGAAACTGAAGAAGATTTCAACATACTTACCTGGTGTACCCCTGCATCGCTGCAAACGAACCTTACGTGTATGATTTTCCAGCACCTTCCCCTGGTCAAACTTTGAAGCACAGCATCATCCTCCTCCAATTTTGCGAATCTGACATAAATTCACGTGAATACATTTGGTTTACTTCAACAGTCGTAGCAGAGATGAATGCCGTCCATTAATTTAGGGTATCCAAGGTGTCGTTGGGATGAAGCTGGAAGCATCGTGTAATCTTAGCACCATCAACTCTCGAAATTTCTGGAGCTCGCCTCCCACACATCTGCATGTTGGCAATTCTTAAATTGCAAATTACAGAAGATGGGGTGCTCCAGGGGATCTTAACGAATGGATGTATACTCCACGGAATCCTACTACTGCAGCAGGTGCGCGTAAATTTTCACCTCAACCTCCTAAACTCCATGACATAGACAGAATGACCGCATCGAAGAGTACCGAGTCCGGGAAACAATCCTTTCAAATTGATCATCATTTGCACTGAAAGTTTAGAGGCATCACAAGCTCCGCCAATTCACAGTTTTACAATTTGTATTACTTAATGATTTTTTGTTTTGTTTTGTTTTGTTTCAAGTTTTGATTAGTATCGTTACCAAATTTCAATATTTTTTATTCATCACCAATTCTATACATTTCCATACATTCCATGCAAAGGTTGGTATCCAACAAACATTTCAAAATGTTTTTTGTTTGTCATTTAACATAATTTAATGTTCCAACACCACCGACTAGTTTGCCTAAAGCTATGGGGCAAGATTCCATGTACACCCGAAGTCCCAGAATGGTGCTATATTATCTTGTGACCCTAAGCTTACTCGGAAACATCACCACTCCACCATTCACCACCCATTGTGGTTCAATGACTTCCCTTGATCATCCATTACAAGCACACTATCCCACTACCCCAGTGGCTCATAAGTCACTCGAGATGAAGCCCCAACAATAGCTACACCACTTCTCGACTGTGTAGTCGCTTCATCATGATTCATAGAAGTGAATATATATATATATATATATATATATATATATACTGTCCTCTGACAATACCTTGTGCAAATTTTATACAAACCAACCTAGTTCATGAAAAGAACTCAAAACCAATTTTACAAAAACTGCAAAAGTCCCCTTCACGTCCACCTACTTGTGTTGCTATCAATATGTTAAGCTATTATTATCATTTTTATCAAATTAAGAAAAAAGAAAAATTAAAATAAATTAAATTAAATGAATCCACAAGTATCAGCAGCTTTTGGGATGATTGAATGCAATTGAAACAGGAAGGAAACAAGAAGAAGCCCATCAATCATTGAGGTATAGAACTGTTTTATACCCAAAGAAAAATAAAGAAAAAGAAAAAATGATTTAAAAAAAATCAGAATGAAATTCGTACTGGTTTTTCTGCAGGCGGCATCAGAATCGCATGCACTACGGTTGTGGGATCATGTGCGATGGGTTATCACGGCAACACTGACTAAAAGCTTGCCTTGAATGCGTGCTGGATCCACATTCAACGCCGCAGTTTATTTACTTGGAAGAAGGAGAAGAAGGAGACGATGTTGTGGCCAGAATGGAGATATGATGCTAGTAGTAGTGATCAGTTGGGTGGGACACACGGCGAGTGCATCGAAGGGATGATCATCCATAGAAACCCACGCCGGCGCACATTTTGCAGTGGACGGAACAGCCACCTGAGCGCCTTTTCACTGTGGATTCGTCCGCTTCGGATCTGAAGATCCATTAGGAATCGGATCTCGCACCGGCAACTGCGACTAGCTACAACAACATGTATTACCCGAATATGCCGGGGGGGGCCGTCAAGGCGTCCTCTAGCCATTGCAGTCCAAGGACCCGGAAATCGTCGCTCTCACTAATTTCGCTCGCCGTTTGGTCCGTTTGGCATCAACTGGTGCAGATTTCCCACAAGCAGTTCTTGACCTCCCAAAGCAACAACCACTCTGAAGGATCAGAACTTTTGGGGTTTCAGAGACGGTTTGCTGAAGGTGTGTTGTGGGAGAGGAAGGAAAGAGGTTGCCATCCGGTCTCGGAAATGGAGGGGCGACTGTCGGAGATCATGACCCACCGGACGCTTCTTTCGTGCCCTTGGCAAACATCTCCCTGGATGGCATCTGAATTTGCGAGGCCCTCCTACCGATTCCTTGGTGATCGATGGCATCGTATTCGCTTTGACGACTTGGATACTTTTGCTGCTAAGAACGATCTTCGTTAACTTAGGGAAGCGCCTACCGGATCGATACACTGTACTACAGCTGAGGATGAGACGGTAAAAGGAAAAATACTGCAACAACCTTGGATGTTCACAAATTGTGCCTGTGCAACCGTCACCGTCTTTGGCATGAGCATGAGCACGGAAGCTGGTGAGCATGAAATCGGCAGTAACCCACAGCACCTGTGTCGGGATCCCCACAACCTCTTCTGCCTTTGAGGGCTGAGATGCTTACCGAGTTTTTACCTGGATGATCTCATTGGAGATGGAGAAAGCTGACTTCTTATTAAAACTTACGCTTGACCAGACTTGGTAAGCTGTGACACTTTACCTGGGCGACGATTCCTCGACACAGTAGTCGCAGCGGCCTCCATGAACGCGAACATGCAACAGTAAATGAGTTTCCCAGCAATGAGCAATCAACTCCCCCCTGCACTGACATTGAAACATCCTCATCCTCATCTTCAAGAGAAAATTTCCGACCTTGACAACTCCGTCGTTGAACCAAAAGGTTCTTCTCAAAAAAACCTGTGTATGACGATGAACACTCCCCGTCCTCCGCTCCTCCATCGATAAACCTCCATCCTCCAGATCCAAAATGCCGACAATGCCACCCTAGCTTCCAGAAACTTAGATTTGGCATTAAGGCATGAGACATTCGACTCACTGAGTTGAAAGTCTCCGGTTGCAGTGACTTTCGACTCGGTGACCTCAAGCGATGGGCCTACACCGACGCAAGACGGCGACGACGGGGTGCACTTCTGAGGCTGTGCAACTCCCTGTCACTGCTAACTCCGGTGTGGACTGCAGTATCGATGGAATTTTTTTCAGCTCCCAATCCATGTGTTGCTGGTTCAGAAAGGCCAGAGATGAATCCTACGATGACTGGATGCACACAGAATCTGGACACTCACGCGCCAAGTGGAAGGACAGGCTCATGGTGGACCCAACACCATGGCGACAATCGGTACATCGCACACGGCTACCAGTCTGTATTATGAACACGTATTTCTATCATTCGACTCTATTTTCTAAATCCAACATCAGCTATCACAGTAGAATAACTTATCACAGTGCGGCCGGCAAGTAGTAGTGGAGTTGCCGGTTCTACCTCCTCTCTGGAACAGATTCCCATACAGGAACACCATTGCATGTATCTGAAAATTATTATATTGAAGCAACTTCTTTGTAGACCAGTACTTTTGAGCTTTGTCCGGAGCTTTTCTGGTTGCGCTTTTAGATGTGCGATTATTAAATGTCAAGACATGGAGAATATTCAGACAAGGATCTGAATCAGTGTTCAGCGCGAGGGGTGCACAGAATAAGGGATGATATGATGAAATTTCACGTAATGAAGGATAACGTCAATACAATAATAATTCCATCAAGTCTTAGTAAACTACCTACTTGTGAACGCACAAGAGAATACTAATAATGTAGAGATTCTGGTGATCAGATCGAATCTTCCTCGGAGCTGGCCGAGGGTGCGCACTAGAGCAGAGGAGGATATGTGGGAGCGTGTGGGACGAGCGGGGTGGTTCTCGAGAAGAATGTCAGGAGGACATGCAACGTCCGAGGAGAGTGAAAGTAGGGACCATATTCTCGTCGATCTGGAGGGAGTAGCGCTCCAGCCGGTACATGTCATACATGGATGATGCCAGCTTCATAGCCACACGGTGTGCCGGCTTGTAGATCGCCTTCTTCGCGTCCTCGCGACTAGTCCAGATGCACATCGCCAGGCATTCACGCCTCTCGTTCATGATTCCATACCAGTACTGCACCATTGGAAAAACAACAACAATAGCGTAAGAATCCCAACACGTGAATATGCAGAGTTGAATCAATCCAACACAACGCCAGACGTCTTGCTCTCGTGATGTGCCTTGAAAAAATTTAACCAGATTTTCATAGAGGAGAAAACATGAAGCGGGGTTTGTGTTTCTCAGTGCATGAATTTATTTTGATTGCTTTTTTTTGTATTCAAGTCTGATTTTTCATTGGGTGTGACATGAAACCTCCGATCGAGGCTATTACTCCTCCACGTAATGGCCATGTTGTCACATTCTGAAGAAATCATGCACCCCACCTTGAGCAATCCGCCGCTGAGGCGAGCTTCTTCCTGAGCAGCGGCGTCGGCCTCGTAGAGCATTACGGAGTCAGCGGTGGACTTGCGAACGGAGCGGAACACCACCAAGTAGAACTCCGAGGAGCCTTGGAAGGCCACCAGGTCGTGCAATTCGTGGGCCCAGTCAAAGCATTCCTCAATTGGTGTGGCGAGGGGATCGGTGTGCACGTACTTGCTTGCCGCAAGCTCCTTTACTGTGTAGCAACTGTACCCCGCACTAGTCTTCTCTACTTCATCTGCTCCCGTCTCCTGTGGCATTCTGCTGAAGAGTCTGCACCACCGAGAGCAACAATCTCCTTGAGCAATTAAATACCCACCCGTCTGATTTTGTTTCTGCACATGATATTTTAACCAACCAGCCTCAAGGTGCTGGTTGCAAAAAAAAAAGCAGCGCTTGCTCCTGTTGATTACAACAAGTTAACTACATGTGGGTTCATTCATGCTACTAGAACTGCGCGCATGATAACTCACTCTGGGGAATTAATCACCGCAGTATCGATCAAGGTAGTCAGCCGCACACGCCGAAGGAAGTGAAAGATACACCAAGTGGTAGCCTAATTGACCGTGGCAAGATCACTTTGGGCGCTGCAAGCAGTGCAACGCGAGTTAAAATGAAGCCGGGGCGAAATTGCAAAAATTGGTCACACATAGAATGTTTGAGGAGATGGAGAAGGAGATCACGTACCGGTCAGTCGCTGTTATATATATACGCGCTGCGATCAAGTCCGCTCGATGGATGGGAACAGAAGACGTTCCTCAGCGATGGACAGGCAGCTGTGAAGCAGCTCAGAGGTAACTTAGACCAGTGACCAAGCGAAGGAACTGGGAATTCTCGCATACGGCGACGGAGTCCAGGATCAGATTTAAATCCCACGGGATCCGGCAGAGTTGGTGCACCTACACTTGTGGTGGCGTAGGGGGTGAGTTGCCTATTATCCTCACCTTGCCTTGATATTTCTTGGGGCTTTTGTAGAGCACAAATTTTTATAATGTCTCTGCTTTTAATCCCAAGTGTTGTGTTGGAAACTTGATGCGGTTCAACTGTCCATGCCATGCAGTACCATTGGTGGGATGTCGAGTTGCTCGGCGTTTAAGAGGATAATGCTGGTGTTGATCCATGTTAATGTTTCCCCTGAAAGATTAATTTACAGGATCAGCCACGAAGTTTTCCACACCCATACAGTAAACTTACATCAGCTACACATGCTCCGTGTCGATTCTTGAAACTTGCGACTGCGATTTCGACGGTATCGATTCCAGTATCGTGCTTTTCTCCACTCACGTCACCAGATAGATACTCCGGAGTATCTTTCACTCAACCTCAGACCCACTTTGATTCCTAGTGTGAAGCGGCCGCACAAAATTTTGACATAGTGTCCGACGCTGGCAGCTGCAGACCAGATTTGTCGACGATGCAGTCCTTCTACTCTGAGAATGATCAACTCTTGGAGAAAAATTCTTCGATGTCCATTAGCTCCAGAACGATCACGCAACTGAATCCCAATAATTTCTTGAAGGCTGCATGTTCCAGTGATGCTTCGTCAATTTCGGGAGTGCTTAAGAAGAAGCAGATCCTCCCTCTCTTTTTGACTTAAATCAGTCCGGATCGGATCCTCGTGGAGTAGGAAACATTTACAAACAATTAAGTTGCTGAAGAGACTAACGGCTCCTCAATTTTCATCTTAAACCTTTCTGCCTCGAGCTTCGTTCGAGTCTCCGTGGCCCTCGTTCGAGCTGGTAGGTTGAGATTGCTGAATCGGTAGCAGAGAGGCTTCTGTGGGTTTGATCGAAGCGTTCGTTTATGCATTCGCTAGTAACATTTTTAGATGGGCTTTGATTAGGGGGATTGGGTTCAGAAGGTTCTTCAGTTCGATTTGTTTTGGTGCGCCGTAGAATTCGGTAGGAAGGAGTTGTGTCAGGGGCATTATTCTAGAGGATAATTCCTTAATGCCTTCCTGGTTCTTCTCGAGCTGTGAGTGAACCATTTCCTGTACCGTTTTGAATCACCTTCTGACCGCAGAGCAATTCTATTTGTGAGCTGTTTCAGGGTTTAAGGTTCGCGGTATCCAGTACATCTTCGGAACCATGACGAGGAATTCGAGGAATTTGAGGGGTGCGTATAATCAGTTGTCGAAATGCGCGGTAAGACGGCGCATGTGAAATTTAGAAGAGAACATGGTTTATTGGGTGCCAAGTCCAAATCGACTTGGAAACGGGAGACGTTGTGGCGCCGTGGATCCAAGCATCAAACGAATCAGCACACCACGACGGCAACAGGTTACGATCATCCCTCTAATGAACGATGCTTGACGATTTCTAGTAGCAGCCGTATGGAACTCCCTGTTCTTTTATTGCAAGATTCTCTAAAACCAATATGCCTGCTGTGGCGCTGTCAATGTACTGTGCCTAACGACGTTGTTTAGGAGATGCAGATCGAGCAGGAATAGATGTGTGTACCTTGTGTGAGATTCAGTTGCCGTGAATAATATGCTGCTGCAATGTACACCGATGTCCAGTGGCGCTCACCTTTTTCTGGTGAGAAGTTTCCCTTCCGGATGCCACGAGCAGAGCACTCAGCAGGTACGTGTGCAGGACAATCTGCAAGCATAGTCTCTTATTATAGTTTGAGCTAGATTTTCTGAGAGTTCTGGAAGATATTTGGCTTCCAGTGCTCAGAAGGTGGCAATGATAGAATGATCAGGGTTGGGTAACCAGCGGAACATGCTCCAGGAAGAGGTTAAGGATGCAATGAAACTTGGAGGGGAGTGAAGGGTCCCGCGTTTAAGCGGCGTAAGCAATCGCTGAGGCATGCAGTGTGCGTCTGGGCCATGTGGGTCTCGCTCTCAAAAGCTAAAAATGCTTTTTGCGGCTCTCGTCCCCTCAAGGCTGCAATGTGCACTGCGCGCTGCAGGTACTTCATCAGCGTATCATCTCCCTGCTTTTGTACAGAAATGCTTCTCTTTTTCACACTGCACAATCCTTACTGCTCTACTCTGTATGCCTTCCGTGCGTTTATAACTTTGCCTGTGCAATTCCCCGCATCGTATCAGGGATCTGATGTGTATCCGCTGTTGGCATTCTCGCCGTAAGGATTGATGCTGGCTCTTTGTGCAGTGGGCAGGTAACACATCCCTTGCACCTTCTGATAATCATTCGTGCTCATTGACACTTATTTCCGTGATGTGTTTTGGAAGACCTTGTGTTCCATAATTTTCTGAATATGATTTTACCTCCCGATTCCGCGAATGTACGAGTTTTCGCATTCCTTTAGCTAATCTCAACTTGTATTTGCTCAAACTTGATTAATTGTCAGTTCATACTAGGTGCTGGAATGTTTACTCGACTATTCCATCAAAGGACTGTAACGAACGAAGCCTTTTCGCAGCACTGAGATCGGCTGTCATTGAAGGAGTTTCCATCGCCTGTGCTTGGAGATGCTACACTACAAAGCACCTGAGGTAGAGTTTTACAACGACCAGATGTTGCATGTGTCGCTGCGTTCTGAGTTGCCATATGCAGCAATGGATCATCTCGAACCTGGAAAAGTGAGAAAAAAAACTTCGAAAAAACGCTGAAGGAGAGGTTTAGATCATTCTCAGGCTACGGTTTTGGCCAGACATATGCTACGGCCTGGAAAATCGCTGATAATGTCGAGTATGAGAGGCGACGCTGCTCTAAACCGCTTTCTACCAGTTTGCTCATCCGCATTCGAGACGCCTGTGAAGTCTGTATGGACTTCCTCGACTATGTCACCTCCATTGACCACCGATACTGTCGAAAGTGTGCAGACATAATGTCCTTGCATAGTATCTCCAATACTCGTAGAATTGAACGATAAGTGCAGGGTCTGATGAGAACAACTCGGGGACAAAATCTAACGTTGGGAACAAAAGCTCCTTGGGTAGATACAAGCCACAACCCGGATGGGAGTAATTTATCACAACCATAAAAATCCGAACATAAATTGAAGTTCAAAGGTTTTAAGTAGTTCCTGACCTGTCAGCACCTCGGGGTTGCTATTCCTATGATGATGTGCGTCTCTGGACTATCAATGATATAAGATCGTGGTGAATTTGGCCATTGGAGAGTCAAATGACCAAAGTAGGTGCTTATGATATTCGAAAACTAGCAACCATCATTTTCGATGCTTTCTCAATGATGCAAAATTTGATGTCGTTCGGGCCTGGGCGCTCTCCTTAACGTGATGAACATCAAGCTTAAGAAGTAAAACACTAATTTGCTCACTCATCACATTCCTCAAAACTGTCAGTACATTTTTTTCTGAAGGAAAGCATATTATAACACCCACCCACCGTGACTTGCTCCATAAGATCCCCCCAGGCTTTCCGTGTAGCCAAGGTCATGATCATGGCTGTGTTGAAGATGTCCATGGTTATGTCCAAGTCCTCCTTGAGAAGAATAGCTCTGGTGAGGAGCTGGGTTGCCATTCTTTCGGGCCACATCCTCTAACAGTTCACCCATCTCGGGCTGCGCCGCGCTGGGAGGCAAACTCTTGACGAGCTCTGCGATCATTTCTGCTATTTCGGGAGCTGCATCCTCCTGCTCTCAATGTAACCAGTGCAGCATAAATGGCAGAGAGTACAGTCTGATGATGAAAACAAGTGATGCATTTAAGGACACTCAACGAAAGAAGAAATGGACCATACATACCTGAGGCCATCGGCTGCCATGATGAGAACGAAACGCCGCACCAGGAAGATTCTTTGCAAGCTGCTCACCCTCCTTCTGCCACTCTTTCGACCATCCACTAGCCCAGAGGATCTGCTTCGGAACGTCTTCCAAATTGGAGTTCCCCGCCCACTCTGCCACATCCATACTGGAGTTCGACGCAGTCCAGGATTTCATTAAGGCTCGCAGGCCGTTGCTGCTCCGCAGCAAGTATATGTAATCTTTAGCGGTTTCGGCAGTCACGTAGTGTAAGCAGCAAGACCTCAACACCCACCTGCAAGTGACTTCGTGCCCATTAACAACATAAAACCAATAATAACCCTAAACCCTAAAACTTTGATGGTCGAAATTCTCATGTCTCTCAATTGAGTATGAACTGGATCAATTCTAACGGTGACGAACCTGAATGCAAGGTCAGAATGGGCTATGACAGGTCCAACGAGCGGAATCGTGAAAAGCCAAAACGGCAAAGAAGGTAGACGAGGTACGGAATCAACAAGGGTTAGACTCGCCACTTTGGACGGGTTTTGTGAAGCCCAAGCTAACCCAACTTCCACTCCCGTGTCGTGCATTACAAGATGCACAGGAGCGACTTCTAAGGACGCAACGATTTGATCCAATGCATGTCCAAGTTCGTCAGAACCCAGCGCTAGTAACTTCTTTCCCTTGAGATTTGTAGAGCCCTTCAACTTTCTAAGAAATTCATGCTCGGAGCTCTCATCGGAACTTTTGGGGAAAAATCCTTCAACCAGAAGCTCCTTCAATGCCTCCAATCGAATTTGGAGGAATCCCTTTCGGTGATCGTCTTCGGAGAGATTATCTGTCGCCTCGCTTGCGACATAGGATTTCTCCGATAGCCCAGCCCCTGGGAGGTCTACAGCTACCGCGGCAAGCTGCTTTGCAGCAAGAAGAGGGAGGAGCTGCCGATAAAGGAAGGAGCTTGATCCCAATCCGTGAAGCAGAAGTACAGTTTCAGCACCAGCATGCGGGTCCACAGACGCTCGCACAAACATCTTGACTGGGCTACGGTCCCTACCCACTTCTACTTTGACTTGTTTCCCAGCCTCGAAGTGCTCCCGCACTCCCGTAGGCATTGACAGGATCTCAATCTTGACATTACTGTTCAAAATACTCGTTCCCACCACGAAAACTAGCATGATCGTCGACATGATTCCCATGAACCAGAGCCAGAAAAAGAAGGGATTCTCATTCCGGACGACCACTCTCTGTGCCGACTCTTGGGCTTTGCGCTGAGAAAATTGCGAACCCTCGACAATGGAATTATCACTTCCGCGCCTGCGAGTCCCATCGCCATCGATCTTCTCATCTATCCTTTCATCAGATTCATCGGCAGTTGAATCGGAATTCCCCTCCACTAACTCTCTCCTCACTCCATCCCCACCTTCGTTCTCTCTCCTTTCTTCATCCATCACGGCGAATTTAATCAATACCTTCCACTTCACCCACTGCCTACTTGCAGCAACAACTCAACTCATCGACTCTAAAAGCATATACAATGCCCGAGGAAGGACACTCAGCTCTAAATCTATCAGCTAGAAACAGGTGTCGGTTTAAAATAAACAGGCCGGAGTTGTAGGGGCGGGACATGTGCCGCTTCACGACCAATCACTACACACGCAGAGAGACGACAACAATAAAGGCAAACTCTGAACGGTGGACTTGAAGGATCTTATTGTGTCAAAAAGAAAAAAGAAAAACATTCTTCCAAGCGACAGATAGAGACTCGCGGGACTGAACTCGAAAACATGAGCCAGGAACTGAAGGCACCAAATGAATGAAATACTGTGAAAAGCTTGTGTGTGATGGAACAACACGATGCAATCTTCAATTTGAAGATCGCGATTGAATTAAAATAATCGAAGGGTAACTAAGAATTGATCTTGTGATATCCTGTCGATGATATCTTTTGCTTCTGATATCTTTGCTGATCACACGACCTTATCAACTGCACAGAAATCACCGAAAGACTCTCAATTCTGCGACCTACTAATGTACTTAGGCACTTGGTGCAAGTCGTCTTCCTATGTTGTGCCTCACAAATCCCCTATCTGGGTTTGATGCGGGAGATTGAGGGGAGCCTTGCCCTTCCTCAGGACCGAGTTTCAAGCGCGTAGTGTTGTTCTCTGCACCCAGTGTTAGTGCTTCCCATATTCTACAAATCGCATTTCGTCAATCAACTCTTCCCCATCCAGTCTTTCTCTTGAAATCTTCTTCTACTTCTTCTTCTTCTGCTTCATGTCTGACTCCCTATGTGCTCTGACCTTCACTCATCATTCGCATCCGTTCTTCCTTGAACCTCTTGAACTCCAACCACTCCTCAAACTCAGACCTACTGGCTTCATCCAGACTGGGAACCCCACCTGTCTCCTTGTTTTTGCTTTTCTCACCTTTCTCCTCGTTTTTGCTCTTCTCGTCTTTCTCTGCTTTCTCTGGCTTCTCCTTTTTCGGAGGTTTGTCCGCATTCTCGACGCCCTTGTCCTTGTCCTTCTTTTCTTCCAGGAGTTTCAATCTTTCCTCAATGTCGCCGCAGAAGCTAGCAATGCGAGTCTCGAAGTAGCGGCTTGTTGTGAACGTGGAATGAATCTGCCCCTCAATGCTCCATCTTAACTTCCTGCCTTCCATCGTCTTTGGGAATCGCCACATCATGGTGTCGCTATAGTCGCCGCCAGTGAAGATCACCCCGCCTTCGCTGGTGAAGGGAAGCTGGTCCAAGGGGTTGCCCGGGACTCTTCGCGCCCAGTTCCACTTGGAGCTCGTATCCGCCATGCGATGGGGATTAGACCTCTCAAAAGGAATTCCTTTCATTGACTGCAGTGTCCACACAAAGCTACCCCCTCGATCAGCCGTGTCCTGCTTCGGGAGCTGCTCAAACCTCCATGGCGTCGACTTCATTGTGGAGTTCATCGTCACAGCTGCACTAGCTCTTAGTCCCGCGGCTATGCCTCTCGTCGCTCCATCGCCAGCCCCACTCCCTACGGTGATATTTTCCGCATGACCGATCTTGAACACCGTGTTGGAGGACGAGTTCGTCATTGTCACGCTCGTTCCTTCCTTCGTCTGCGGCGTCAGCGACAACATTACCACCGTCGGAAAATGCCCCATGCACGACTCGTGCCACTTAGAATTCTCCACTTTGAATCTCACATGCTTCACCCCCACTGTAACCTGGTTGCACAAACCAACACGCTATTAGTAAACGCCATTTTCATCACCGACGCAGATCGAAACAGACGTGTTCGACGTGTGAGGAACCAAAATAGCTACCTGCAAGAAATTTGCCTGGGCTTCAACCGCCGCAATAAGCTGAATATTCACTTTCGCTCTCTGAGGATACAAGAGCATCAATTGCTTGTATCTTCGATGCGGCTCTTCATCCACCAAAGCATACTCCACCGGCATCATCAGGATCGGGACTTCTAATTGCATCTCCCAAACCCCATTCTGCGCTTGAGCCACACATTTCGGCTTCCCCGCACCCAACCCAACCGAAGCATCCCTCCCTCCTCGCTGGACATGGCCCCACAATGTATACAACATGGCGTCATGGTAATTTTTCGTGCTATAGTCTTCCACCAATTGATTCATAACTGAGTCCATTTTCGCTCTATCCTGCATAATTTTTTTCGCTTCGCTGTCCAGTCCACTGGATCCCTTTTTATCTCCGCGAGGCGTTTCGAGGGACTGGAGCACTTCCGCAAGTGCAGCGTTATCCGCTTGCCTCCTATTCAGCAAAACCCTGAATACGTCTGTGTGGCACTGTGATGCTGCAATCACGGCGGTTCGCCACACCAAGAAAGTTCGGTATGAGGCGCGAACCAATTCGTGCAGCTTCTCATGCAATCCTGGTAAGCCCCGGATATCCCAGCCCCCGGACTGGAAGTGAGTGCTCCCAGGTGGAAGCATGGACTTGCAGTTCATCATCTTGCGCAACCAATCCGAGTTTGGAGTGTTTCCCGGCTTTTCTACAAATGGGTAGCTCTCAGATCCTTTCTGATCTTTCCATCGGGTGGCCACCATGAACCCCATCATCGCTGTGCTCGCTGACATCGTTGGCTGCAAGAGCTCCTCCACAACCTCATCATGCCCAGCTTCGGCAGCTTTTAAGATTCCGAACGCAGAGAAAAGCCCGACGAGCATGCTTCCGCTCAGATGCTGATTCTGAATCTCCCGGAGCCGACGAATGCAGAGAATGTGGCCCCCGCGGCACGCTTGCACCATCGCATGCCCCACGGCGTGGGATTGAAAAGAATCCTCCAAAACCAGCGACGCAAGCTTGTGGCTCGGGTACAAGGGATCCTCTTTGCTTCCTCTGGTTTCCAAGTCTCGCCACACTTCTGCCACGGATGGATGCTCAGATTCCGTCCTCGCGAGAATGAGTGCGGAATCGAGATTAGGGGGCTCGCCCGTCTTCTTGGCTACTTTCTCCGCTTGACGCAGCGCATCCGACAGGCTCATGAGCCCTTCCGAGTCGAACACCATAGTGTACAATTTTTGAAAATGTCTAGCTGTGTTGATAAAGCTCCTGAGAAGTCCGTTGCGAGGAATGAACAGTACACCGTTAGAATTACAAACATGTGGGGTGACGTGGTAACCATGTTACCGACAAAGCAGAAAATTTATGATTCCGAACGCCGTTCGAGAGAAGGAACTGGACAACTACGACGACACTTTTAGACAAATATTGCATCAACTGTGGGAATCATATCGACTCCCAGTGGATTTCAATCACAAGATCCACCGATAAGATCTTACTGCAAACGCCACAATCCAGTGGCTGTAAGAAAAATGCCACTTCTCAGAGTGACTAGATGCCGTAATCACAACCTAAAACGACCATGTTGACAACATCAGAATCTGCCGGCGAGTGCAGAACCTGCTCACCTCCAGAATTCACAACACTGACTGAACAACCTCTCAAAAGAAAAATCAGAAGTAAAACAAAACAAAACAAAACAAACAAGACGCCTACACGACAAAACCCCTAGCGAACTCACGCCCACGCAAACTCACGCCCACATGGCACCGCACAAGACCGACTCAAATCCAAACTCCGCCAACCTGAGCGAGTACACAGCGACCCAGCGTCTCTCTCTCTCTCCCACCCAAACCTTCCAAATAGATCCAGGACATCAACGAAGCAGTCACCTGGAATTAGTAGCTTGCCTCTAGTTGATCGGTGCTAGTAGCAGTTCCTTCTCATCCTTCCAAAACACCCTCAACACTTCGATCTGTACAAAGAGCCAGGGATAGTAACAACCAACAGCCAACAACAACGAAGTAGAATCCGAAACCGCAAGGTTCTGTCTAGAGTGGGTGCAAAGGGGGGAGGGGGAGAGGAGGAGGAGGGGGAGAGCAACACAAATATAGGCTGTCGGGGGAGGGGGGGGGGGGAGGGGGGGTGAGAGAAATGAAGGCGATGGTTGCAGCAAAGCTCCGAGGATGGGGGCGCCGAGAGGGAGAGGAGCAGCACTTTCAGAAAGGCAGCCGCAGTAACAGCAGCAGCAGAGCAAGAAAAAAGAAAAGCCCCAATTGTGCTGGGGTGGTGGTGAAGGTAGTGGTGGTGAAGGTGGTGGTGATGTTGTTGTTGTTAATGCCCTCTCAGCAATGCTACTAGTGTTTTGTACTACTACTATCATCACCACGTTGTTGTTGTTGTTAATGCCCTCTCAGCAATACACCTCGTGTTTTGTACTACTACTACTACCACCACTGCTACAACTCCAACGTCTAACTACTTCCTTCCTTCCTTCCTTCCTTCCTTTTTTTTTTTTTTCTAGTGGGGCCCCATCTCATGAAAGTCAACACCGAAGCCAAGTAAGGAAGGAAGTGGGGGGTGGGGGCTGTGGCAAGAGGGGCAAATATAGTGTTTGAATCTGAGCCGAAATATTGGTGTGGTTGAAACTTCGGGCCTCTCCTTTCACCCTTGATTCCTTCTTCCTGCGCATTTTTCTCCTCTTTCTGCTGTGTCCGTTTCAGTGTTCGGTTTCTATGTCGTTTTACGCGTAAGTCGAACTTAATTTTCTTTATTTATATGTGTGTGTGTGTGTGTGTGTGTGTGTTTATCTTTGGTAACGGGAGTAGAGTGAAATGTGATGGAAACCGACCGGTTTTGTTGTGTTGAACTAGTATCAGAATAATTGAAGACGTGGGTTTTTGATTGTGTGTCATTGACAATTTGTCGTTTAATTTTAGCATGATTTGAGGTTGTGGAGTTTCTGCAACAGTTTTGAGGAGATTTCTACGACCCTTCTTCTGTGCTCAACTACTGCCTGGCCAATAAACGTTTTTTGTTGACTGTAATTTGTTTTTTTCTTGGGGAAACGGATGGACTAAGTTGCTATCATTTGGAGATGCTCAATTGATGGATTGAGTCGAAAATTATTATCTCGTTGCATTCAATGAAATATTTTCATTTTAAAATTTATCTTGTTAACTTAAATGCAATCCTATATACATATATCTGTGTGTGTGTGTGTGTGTATTGACAGCATAATTGAAATTATTTGCTGGTTATTTAATCAAAAACTAATAAACATTGATTCAATAATAAAATATTTTCCGTGCATGCAAAATTTTAAAACACGCCACAAACTAAAACAATAAGATTCATTTTGGTTGTTTTTAACTTTCATAAAATATAAAGATTGTATTACTTACATCAAATAAAATTGTGAAGTTAATAACCCATAAATTAAAAAGGCCTTTATGATTAGGAGAGAAGATGAAGATAGTTGTAATCCAGAAGCGTTTTGTGATTGGCTTTGTACTTAAAAAAATCAACAAACATGTCAGGTGATGTATATATATATATATATATATATATATGAGGTGGAATATACTTCCTTTTTATCTACATTTCATGAATGGTCTCCCAAGACTTGCATTAGACCCCTCCTCAAGAGCAGGTTTCTACAAAAACTAAAGTAGTTGTGTCGTACAATTGCTCATAATACCCATTTTAGTTTAAAGATAAATAATTCTATATATTGTCTTAAGAATTTTTAGAAATAACATATTAGATGTCTTGTTTAAAATCACAATAAAAAAAAACTGATTTGGTCCATTTCATGATCTCTTCATATTGAACACTATCTCCAAAAAATGAGGCTTTTATGAACAACTTTTTTTCATTAAGCAAAAGACTTTTCAGAAAGCTTTTGGATCATGACCTCCTTTTTAGAGTGGGCTTCGAAGTATATAGATTGCCTAATCATAAATTACTTAATGAGATAAGATCCTCGAATACCACTTAATTTTTTTCAATTTCTCTAAGAATATGACCAAATATACAAACTAATTTACTATTACTTATCTAACATTTATATTCCCTTCACACACAACTTTTGTAATCTATGTTAGATTAAATGTACTCTTCTTTGAACTGTTTTACTCCACAGAAAAAGAATGTATACTGTGTTCATATGCACATCCAATTATAAATAAATAAACAAAAATCACGACGCGCAAAAGACCAGAATTTCAAGAGAAAATTACAAACATCGTTAATTGGGGAGTTTAAGTCAATTTAAGACCAATTTAAGCACAAGGAGTAGGAGTCCTGTCCACCTTCGGATCAGAATCTCGGCCGTATATGACACCCTGGCAGATTCCTCCACGTGTTCCTGCCAGATGTCTTCGCGTGACGGCGCGATCGCGTAGGGGCAGTCTCTGTATCCACACAAGAGATATGCATACAAGAATACAGATACTAATACATACTAATACGAATCGTATGGGAGAGTCGTCACTCTCGGCGTCGAAACGAAGCTTGACTCTTCGTCAATCCTGCAAGCGTCGTTTTCAATCTAAAGGAATTCGTCTACACACAATCGATTCAACACGCTATCGGTGTGAGGGGTTTGGATTCCCTTCGTCTCTGTCTGCTCGGGCGGACAGCGCTCTTCGTCCGAAGGTATCCGCTGAAGAATTTGTCATCGATTGATCGGAATCGCTAGGTTTGGCGTTCTCTCTGTTTGTGGTGGTGGTGGTGGTTCGATTGTGCGTGGGTTGTTGTGGTCTTGGTCCGAGGGCTTGAGGATTTTATAAAGTGTTTCTAATGTGGTTTGAATTGAATTTTGGGGTGGTTTTGTGAAGATTGTGAGAGTTCGTTTTGGTGTGAGGAGTGGAGCGGGTTTGATTGGGAGAATTGAGTTGTCTAGGGTTTGAGGTCGGGAGCGGGTGGGGTTAGTTTAGTTTAGTTTAGCTTGGCTTCGGTTCCGTATGATTGCGCCTTTTTTTATCGGTTTAGGTAGGATCGATCTAGCCGATTTCCTTATTAGCTTGTAGTTTCGATTGAGTGTGGATTGGTGGATCGGTCCTTGACCAGGGCAAGGTGTGGGGAGAGGTCGGGGTCACCAAGCGTTGACAAACACAGTTCTCCAACGGGACGGCTGGGAGAAAAAGGTAGATTGGCCAGCGGAAGTCGATGGCATTTCGTTGCAGAGGATTTGATTTAGGGCTCATTGCGTAAGCATTGTCGCTGTGTGGGTTATTTGCTTTGCGGGAAAGGAATCAGTGATTTATCAGAGCTGAAGGTGGAAAAAACTACTTTCCGCAGTTTGCGTTGAAGCGATTCTGGATTTATTGGACTGCAAATTCAAATAGAGCAACCTTGAAGCTTGTGAACTGAAGCGGATCTGAATCGAATCGGAGTTCTTCGTACACGTGAGTATGGAGAACAACGTATTGTGAGGATGTGTTGATGCTTTTGAATCGAAATCTTTTAGCGCTCGCATTATCAATCTGTATTTATTAATCAGGCGGTTTGCTATCTGTGATTTTTTTTTTTTTTTTTTTTTTTTTTTTTTTTTTTTTCTCTCTCTCTCTCTCTCTCTCTCTCTCCTTCTCCCGGAGCTCTGTGCGGACAATTTCGTAGACCGCCCTACCCTCTACTTCAGTGCTTGCGATCAAGATTTTGGGTGGTACAGGCTCTCGCTAAGGATTTTTGTTGCGGGCTTGAAGAAATAGCTGTGTTTTGAATAACCAAATTATTTTAATACTTCGTTATCACAAGCATATATTCTTTTTCTGTTAGAAATAACTGCTGTCCCTTCAATCTTTGGATAATTATGGCGAAAATTCTCTTTGAATATACCAAAATAGGGTTGGAATAACGAATGGAATATTCAAAACCGAATCTGACGCATTTCTTTTCTACTTTCAACCCATAAATTAGGTTTTTATGTTCTGAGGAAATCTTTATGTCTTGATGCAGGAGGCATTCACATACGTATCTTCTTGTGTTTTGACTTGGTTGGAGGAGGTTTTCAAGTACGTTAATGCTGAAGAGGCAGCTGGAATGGGTGGATCTATTGGTCTGCAGGCACGATATTGAGTGAGGCATAGTAAGTGAGGCAGTGGAGCTCCAGTGGGGGTTCTTTTTCATTTTCTGGTTGTAAAGAAAGCAGGGGCGCTGGAGGTAGTAAGGAGAGCTGTGAGGTGCGGCTCCATGCGGCGTCTGCAGGAGCTGCTGCTGGGGCCCAGGTTCACAGCAGCGAACGCATCGTCAGGAAGTGAGATTTGGGTTTTGGGACTATGTTATAAGGTGTCTGCAGACCCTAACAATGAAACTCTTTCGGTTCAAGCCTTCGAAGAGTTTATCAGCGATTTCACTTCTCGCATCTGGATCACCTATCGAAAAGGTTTGTTTTTTCTTTTGTCTCTCATCAACAGCACATGGCAGACCTCAGAGTTTTGACGAGGCATATCTTCAGCTGCTTCATCAGTCGAAATTTCAATGAAACCACAGATTGTGTACCTTTGGGACTGACCCATCCCTGCTACTTTGTCAAATATATTTCATCATTTCTTTTTGGTGATTTGCCCCTGCAGGTTTTGAATGTGTGGGCCAGTCAAAGTTGACTAGCGATGTGGGATGGGGATGCATGTTACGCAGTGGTCAAATGCTTCTAGCTCAGGTTGTTCTCTTTGCCCTTATGATGATTGTATCGAGGAACCCTTGCATCTCTTTTCTTAAGGTGGAGGTTTGTAACTTAATTTCTTTTGGGTTATACTTAGTTTTTGTTTTTCTTCAAGTAACTGGGTTCTGGAATTGGGCGTGTGATGCAGGCACTTGTTTGCCACTATTTGGGCAGGTCATGGCGACGGGAGCCTGGCCAGGTTGGTGGACATTCTTTTTCCACGATTGCATACATGTTCACTTAGTGCTTTTCTTGTATTGATGTTGGGTGTTAATTTCTTGCTCTATTTTGGGTTTTTATCTTTATCCGTATGGCAGGCTGTGAAGCTGTTTTTAAACCCATTTTGTGTGTTGTACAGCCATGTTCGCAAGCATATCTGCAAATTCTGCAAACCTTCGGTGACTCTGAGTCGTGCCCCTTCTCGATACATAATTTGCTGGAGGCAGGTCATCCTTTTGGTCTGGCTGCTGGATCTTGGCTTGGGCCTTACGCTCTTTGTAGGACACTAGAAGCGCTTGCAAGGGCAGACAGGGAGCAGAGTCAAAAGAAGGGTGGCAAGCGAGCTTTGCCTTTCGCTGTATATGTAGTTTCTGGAGAAGCAGAGGGTGAGAGAGGTGGTGCACCAGTTCTATGTGTAGAAGATGTTGCGACATTGTGCTCCAAGTGGAGAGAGCCAACTGAAGAATGGACTCCCCTGTTGGTGCTCGTGCCTCTTGTCCTTGGCCTTGACAAGGTGAACCCTAGGTTTGTCTCATTGCTCTATTCTGCTTGGTACTTGCAGTTTTTGTGTCTCAGCTTTGTCAGGTTTTCTGAATATTTAGATGTATGCCGGACGGTTCAATGGGGATGCGAAATTTTAATCCTTGTCCTTGGATTACCTTTCTGGAAACTTTCGTGATTCGGAGATTTTCTCCCACTCTCGCAAGAACTTATATTGATAAAATTAATCAAGGGATAGTAGACATAACCAGTGCTCAAGTGTCCTATAGCTCAAGTTGAAGAATTTTATTCTGTTGTTTATGAAACTGATTGCATTAGGATCCTTTGAAGTCCTAATGAGTTGCCTTACTCTATGCAGGTATTTGCCGTCATTGAGGGCAACATTTACCTTCCCTCAAAGCCTTGGAATTGCAGGTGGTAAGCCAGGAGCTTCAACTTACTTAATAGGCGTCCAAGATGAACAGGCGATGTACTTGGACCCCCATGAGAATCAGCAGGTAAACGTTTAACGTGTAAAATGTGTAGGCCTCACACGGTATTACTCAGTAGCCTTGGCAACAGTAACACACAGTAGGTGCATGTTGATGAACATCACAAGGTAGTGTAGGCATTGATATAAAGCATTGAGAAACTGATGATTGCGGTGGTAATGTTTCAGGTTGTGCCAGTAACACCAGAGAATTTGGAGCTGGATACTAGCTCCTATCATTGCAGGTAAGTCATGCATATTCGTATACCCATTCCAGTAGCGTCTGATTGGAAGCCCACACAGAGAATTCATCAACATCCCATGAAAAACTGCTATCTGTAGTTTAAGATGAATGATTGGAAGGTTTGCGAAGAGTACCCGAAGTCGTATTCTCCTACATTGAAGCAAATCTGAAGATGATAGATACGCAATGCCTACTCTGAGTAAGATCTACCAAGGAGTGAACCTGCCTCTTGTGCCTTTTTGGTGCAACAGCACAGTATTTCTTGACAACGTTTTTTGGGTGGATTCTTGTGCAGTACTGTGCGGCGTCTCCCATTGGATACGATTGATCCGTCTCTTGCTATTGGTTTCTATTGTAGGGATCGAGGTAAGGCTGCGACTTCCTTCTGGATGTACAAATGTTAGATTGCAAGTGGATCTTTCGACTTTAGATTTCCAAGATGTTATCTTGTGCCTCGGGCTGCATTAGTCTTTGTAGCATTTTGTTCAGGTGATAAGAAAATTGAGAGCTACTTCATCGATCTGCTCATTATGAAGGATTTGTACTAAACAAGTGAATTTGTTGGCCTTCGGCAACAGCCGAGTTCGATGACCTGTGCGCACGTTCATCAGAGTTGGCCAAGCAATCCAATGGCGCACCCATGTTTACTGTTGCTGAGAAGTCTGCTCCTCCAAAGCCAGCAGACAGCTGCAACTTGGATCTGGAAGAATCGATCCCCAAAGACCCTTCATCCGAAGATGATTGGCAAATGCTTTGATGGGAATGTAGTAGGATCATTTTCGACTGCATATCATCTCACTGGCTTGTATTCCGCTAGTTGCGGTTGTGTCGTTATTGGACCGCTTGTATGAGCAGTCATTTTATGTAGTTCAGGACAGAATGGTTTGACGTTTAAGCATTTAGTGAATTCAATTTTCACGATTTTGGTGTCACCATGACACTCAGTTTTTAGCTCGAATGGAGGTTAGTATAGCTGATGGCCGTGCTGAGACCTTGTAATGCTGTTGTATAGGATTCTTTGCCCACCCGCCTATCCTGTCCAGTATTTTGTTCATTTCTTAAGGTGCTCAATCAATTGTGGTTGGTGCTCAATAATTTGTACATATCCATCTGTGATTATCTTTTTCTTGAATAAATCCACTTTTTACCTACTTTCTTTCGCACCTGCTTTTGGCCACAACCAGTATATTTCTACAGTCTTTACTGCTCAGCGAGGTCTCTGCACTCCACTGTGACTAGCGACAATCATCTTGCAGTCAAGAGTTCCAGAATCCACCGCAAGCCGCAACCAACGCGCATTTCGAACGTACATGATGAAGTGGACTCTGTATAGACCAAGACACTCAAATTTCTCAATTACATCGTACACTTGGGGAAGTCCTTCCGCAGCTACTGCCGGAACTCTTCAAAATATTGTGAAACCACTCTGTGCTCCTGGTCCAGTTCAATTAGAAGAATTTTCAGGTTGATAACAATATGTGATACGTAGAATACTATCAAGGTGGTGTGTGATCATTATCCTGAGGATGTAACAATAAGCAAGGGAGAAAGTTGAAACATAATCCTAAAATGTGAGAAAAGCATGGGTTGACTGAGTTGGAGTTGTGTTGTGGCCCATAACAGCTTTGATTGGAAACATGGTAATATTCCACAACTCTCCTCCTGGTGGGTAATATAGCTGAGGGAGAGGACTTGTCATCCTTTGTTGTTATTTGTGTTTGTTGTTATTCATCAAAGCCTTCGCCAAGTTGTATGTAGGAAGACGTGAAAACATGAACTACATTTGCAAAAACTCATTTTGGTTGTAGGTAAATACAGCATCTTCGAAATATTGGTATTTTATTTTTAATCAAATGTAATGATATATGGTATTCATGTGAAGTGTAAGGTACCACAAACGACTACTAAATTTTAGAATAAAATTTAAAGAAAATATCAAGATTTATAATATCTGTTTAAGTTGTGTTATTAAAAATACATAAACGATAATTCATGTGAAAAGCAAGAATACTTAAATTTACAAAATAAAAGAATATGAAATTAAAAAAAACAGTATTACAAAAATGAATACCAAATATTCGATGCATGGTTAAGACCATAAAAAGCTTTATAGATGCAGCATGTCTTAGATTTATTGTTAGGAGTGAAAACACTTTAAAAATATATGAATTTCTTTTGAGAAGATACTATTTATAAGAATTATTGTAACACATGTTTAGTAGGTGTAGTAATTACATAAAAATATCACATACAAGAAAGACTTGTAAAAATATAATCTTTATAACTGCAGTTATAAAGCAAGTATGAAAAACTGACTTGCACCAAAATGCAAAAAGATTGAGTTAGCAACACTCAAGTTTAGAAATATTTTAAGAATTCGGATTGGTATATACATATATGTGTATATTTAACTATACTGATATATACAATTTATTTACATATTGATCTAAATATAAGTAAAAAGATTGAGTAATAAAATAGAAAGATTAGTAAAATTTATAAAATGTAATTTTTATTTATTGTAACAATAAAAATATCACAAAAATTTGATTAACTTCATTATCTAAAAATTTATAGTTAAATATAAAAATAAATATATATACATGAAATATAATAAGAATTTTGTAGAAAATTTTATCTACAAATAATTGAAAGATAATGATTAGTATTGAAAAAAAGATTTTTTTTCAATTCCAAAAGATTTGCAAAAATGAAAGCAACAATGTTAATCTTATAAAATATAGAGATTAGAAAAAAATACATAAAAATATATTATGCTTATTTAAGAGAATTATTCAAATTTTATAATAAATTAAAATTATTTTAAAATAAATAATATAAATAAAATAAGAAAATTTTAAAGAAAGTTATTTTGAAATATATATATATATATTACTAAAGAAAAATCTATTACTTCTTTATACAAAATAAATGACACAACTAAGTAGAAAATATAATTAAACATATATTAGACATGAAGTCATTATAGAATAAGATATAATTTTATTTAAAAAATATATAGTATACATAAATATATAAAAAATTAAGTCTAATTATAAGAAGATGAAAAATATTAAAAACTAATAAAGACAAAAATTAAGCTAAATAAAGAAATTACAATCACATATGTCCAATAATTGTCATGGACATAATCAATACTATCAATTACTTAAATAAGAGGAATTAAATAGAATTAAGTAAAAGTATGTAAATTTATTAATATTTTATGGAAGAGCTTGTTAGAAGCTTCATAGACACACATTTAACTTTATACATGTCTATAGGTCATTAATAGGTTGAAAACTTGGCCAACAAGTTGGCCATATAGCACACATATAAAAACTTATCTTGCAAGTTAGACACATGTTGGAGGTCTTATATAATGTTATTAAGTAGCTCCTAGTTAGTTAGTATATATAGAGGTAAAAGTGACATCTTCTTCATTCTTATCAATGCTTTTCTTGTTCTTAGTCTTATTTCAATAGTTTCTAGTCTTTTTGTCTTTAGCAATAGCCATATTATTTTAAATATTATAATATTTTTGAAAGAATATCTATTTTTTTAATAGCAAAAGGATATATTAATTCTTTGATTTCTTATTATTTATGTCCTTGACGATTTTATAAATGTGCAAATTCATCATTCTTATTTTGTTTTAAAAATTATTGAATCATTCTACTTTTTTTTGTTGTACTTTAAAAGTTGTAGACAATCCACCTTTAAACTAACATTTTTTAGTTTTTTTAACATTAATTCTTCTTTTAAAGAAAGTGGACTACCCTTCTTTGTAGAAATTTTTATTCAATATTGTCAGGGACAAGAACTCGATGAAAGCTAAAGAGTAAGTCAGACTTTTCTCAAAAAGAAATAGGACAAAATAGAAATATGTATATTAAGAAAGAAACTGGAATGGCTATTGCCAAAATACAAGAAAACTAGAGACCCTTGAAACTAGACTAGAAGCAAGAAAGGAGTTGACAAGAGTGAAGAGGGCTTCACTCTTGCCTCTATATATACTATCTAACTAGAAGCCACGTGGCGATGTTCTATAAGACCTCCAATATATGTTGACTTTCTAGGCCACATGCCTTTGCTTGCAAGGCAAGTTTTCTATGGATAGACCACGTAGTTAGCTTGTTCTTTAAGCTTCCAACATGCGTGGCACATGGCTAACTTGTTGACCAAGTTTCTAACCTAAAAGTCAACTATAGACTCCTATAAAGTCAAAGCAGCGTCTATGAAGCTTCTAAGAAGCTTCTCTAGAAGATATTACACAATTAACCTACTTTTACATACTTTTATCTATTCATATAGGTAATTATATGTATGTCCGTGACATTACCCCCCCTTCTAGGGACGAGTTCCACGAGGAGCGGTGATTATATATTGAGAAAATCTAATATGCGGCGAATTGTATTTGCTACATACTCTGATCTTTGTTCTCTTCGAAGATAGTTGATGGGTCCTCTTAGCCATCGATAGTGTCCCATTCCAGGGCGAGAAGACCACCCTGTTATTTGATCACTGTTGAGGCCTTCATAACTTCCTTCAAATAATACATTTGAAACACCATCAGGAGTCGTTCCTATCTCCAATAATATCACCAAACATCGAGAATCTCTTCCAAGGTCGTGATACCAAACGCGTTGTATCTCACCATCTATTCGAGGAAGAACATGTCGTTCTTGAGGGTCTTCATTTCGGTTGCGTCGTCTTGAAGGTTGTGACAATCACAATGTTTCATCCGGTAAGTCAGCAAACGAAGGTTCTTGAGTTGAATCCGCTGGTTGTTGGCTCTCCATCTAATTAGCGTCACAAAATGCAAAGAAGTTACAAACAAGGATAGGAAATTGAATGTTATCTTGCCTCAATCTTGTCTCTTTTATAAGAGAGGTTTTCATCTTGGTTTTGATGGATGTCGTTGATGAAAAACTTTGACTTTAGCTGATGCATTTGCTAGATTCCTGGATGGCTCCTATGTGCGCTCACTAATATCATATCCGCACCAATGAACAAGATATTCCAGCTTATTTTGGCGCCGCCTTGAGTCTAATATCTCTTCCACCTCAAATTCTTCATTATTATCTACTTCTATAGGAGGCGGTGGTATTTGTCTTCTTCCTTGTATATCCACTGTCTTATATGGTTCAAGAAGAGACACGTGGAATACAGGATGGATCTTCATTGACTCCGGTAGATGTAACCGATATGCAACTAGGTTGATCTGTTCAGAAACAGAAAAGGAGCCAAGCCTACGATAGTCCAATTTGTCACAAGGTCGAGTGGTCTTGATATTGCGACGAAGTAGCCATACCTTATCACCCACGTTGAGTTGTGGTTGCTCTTTACGATATACATCTGCATTTATCTTTTGTCGTTCTTGAGCTTTCTTCAACTGCGCCTTCATTACTGCATGTAACTCTGACAACCGATTTGCCATATCTTCTGCTGCAGGATTATCAACTTTTGAAAAATCAAAAGTATCAAGTCGTGGATGATAGCCATAATTGGCAAAGAAAGGTGTTTGTTGCGTGGAAGAATGTACCGTATTATTATAAGCAAACTCTGCCAATGGCAGAAGGGTTGTCCAATCATCTTGTTGGTAGTTGATAGTACACCTTAAATATTGCTCCAAGACTTGGTTTACGCGCTCTGTTTGTCCATTAGTTTGAGAATGGAAAGCCGAAGATAGCTTTATGTCCACTTTTAAAATCTTGAAAAGGGTCCTCCAAAATCTTGACACAAATTGAGTTCCCCTATCCGATATGATATCTTTAGGTAATCCATGATAGCGATAGATATTATCAATGAAAAGCTTAGCTGTTTCTTCACCTGTGATAGATTTTGTACATGGCACAAAATGTGCCATCTTGGTGAAACGATCTACTATCAGAAATATAGAATCATAAGATCTTGAGCTTGGAAGATCTGTGATGAAATCCATAGAAACAGAAGACTATGGTTGTTCTGGTATAGGTAATGGCTGAAGAAGTCCGTAAGGTCGATGACAAGAATTTTTGATCTTGAACAAATATCACATGATTGTACAAAGTCTTTGACTGACTTCCACATTTGTGGCCACCAAAAATCTCTTGATATGAGTTCCAAAGTCTTATTATATCCAAAGTGCCCTGCTGCTGGAAAGTCATGA